ATATATATATATATATATATAATTCTGTGCTTTAAACTCAAATTCTAAAATATCACACATGGATAAAAGTGCATCAAACATAATTGTACAGTATAATAATATTAAGTGATCGAGTAGAAGCCCCCTTTGTGCTCTGTCAATGTCACAGACCTCTTTCTCCCATCTTTGAAATAATATCTTAACTCTTATGGTAATCACATCCTTACTTTTCTTTCTATTTTTGCTACCTAAGCATTCATTCCTAAACAATATGATATTGTTTTGCCTGTTTCTAAATTGTATGTAAATACAATGAAATGTAAGAGGCTCTTTTGGGTTTTGCCTCTTTGTCTCAACATTATAGTCTTTTAAGAGTCATCCAAATTGTTGCATAATGTTATCATTTGTTCATTTTTATTTATTAGTCAAATGGTTTCATACCCCACACTTTATCCATTTTCTGTTGCTAAATGTTTGGGTTGTTTCCAGAGTTTTTTCTATCATTATCAAAGTTGCTATGAATATTCTTTTTTGGTTATTTTTTTTGAGAGAGAGAGAGAGAGAGAGAGACAAAGAGCAAGTAAGTAAGTGCGTGCACACGAGTGGGGGAGAGGCAGAGACCAAATCCCAAGCCCACTCTGTGTGCTGTCCCTGCAAAGCCCATAGCAGGGCTCCAACTCATGAACTCATTCATTGCCCACCCCGGTCTGCTCTGGCAATCACCAGTTTCTTCTCTGTACTTACAGGTCTAGTTCTGCTTTTTATTAGTTTATTCATTTGTTTTTTTTTAACATTCCACATATAAGTGAAATCATATGGTATTTGTCTTTCTCGGACTTTTTTCACATAGAATTCTGCCCTCTAGGTCCATCTGTGTGTGTGTGTGTGTGCACGCACATGTGTGTGTGTGTGTTTATATATCTTTATCCACTCATCTATGGATGGATACTTAGGCTGCTTCAATATCTTGGATATTACAAATAATGCTACAATAAATGTAGGGGTGCGTATATCTTTTCAATTTACTTTTTTGTCTTATTCGGATAAGTACCCAGTAGTGGAATTACTGGATTATATGGAAATTCCCTTGTTTTTTTTTTTAATTTTTTTTAATGTTTATTTATTTTTGAGACAGAGAGAGACAGAGCATGAACGGGGGAGGGTCAGAGAGAGAGGGAGACACAGAATCTGAAGCAGGCTCCAGGCTCTGAGCTGTCAGCACACAGCCCGACGCGGGGCTCGAACTCAACGGACTGTGAGATCATGACCTGAGCCAAAGTCGGACGCTTAACCAACTGAGCCACCCAGGCACCCCAGCCCTTGTTAATTTTTTGAGGACCTTCCATACTGTTTTTCACAGAGGCTACATCAATTTGCATTCCCACCAACAGTGCATGAAGGGTCCTTTTTCTCCACATCCTCATCAACACTTGTTATTTCTTGTCTTTTTGATTCTAGCCATTCTGACAAGTGTAAAGTGACAGCTCATTGTGGTTTTAATTTGCATTTCTCTGATGATTAGTGATGCTAAGCATCTTTTCAAGTGTTTGCTGGAAATCTGTACCTTTTCTTTGGAAAAATGTTTATTAAGGCCCCTTGCTCACAGTTTAATTGGATTTGAGTTGTATAACATCCCTCTATATTTTGGACATTAACCCCTTAACGGATAAAACATTTGTACATATATTCTCTCATTCAGTAGGTTGCCCTTTTTTGTTGTTGAGTTTCCTTCATGGGACAAAAGCTTGTTATTTCGGTGTAGTCCCAATAGTTTCATTTTGCTTTCATTTCCCTTGCCTGAGGAGACACATCTAGAAAAATATTTCTACAGCAGATATGAAAGAAATTACTTCCTATATTTTTTTGCTAGAACTTTTATGGTTTCAGGTCACACATTTAGGTCTTTAATCCATTTTGAGTTTGTTGTTGTGTGTGGTATAAGAAGCTAGTCCAGTTTCATTGTTCTGCATGTTGCTGTCCAGTTTTCCCAGCACCATTTGTTGGACAGACCGTCTTTTCCCCCCCTACATATTCTTGTCTCCTTTGCAATAGATTAATTGACCATAGAAGTGTGGGTTTATTTCCGAACTCTACATTCTGTTCCATTGATCTATGTGTCTCTTTATGTGCCAGTGCCATACTCCTTAGTACAGATTTGTAGTAGATCTTGAAATCTGGGATTGTGATACCTCCAGCTTTTTCTTTTTCAAGATTGCTTTGGCTATTCAGGGTCTTTTC